CCCTAACCCTAACCCTAACCCTAACCCTAACCCTAACCCTAACCCTAACCAATTAGCAGTTTATCACAAGGAGAATGACAATGCTGATATCCCCCGCTTCACACCAAAATCTGACTGGGCGCCGGCCTTAAGCCAATTACCGCCCCAAGTCACAACTCTTATTAATAATGATCTTAAATACATGAGAGAGAAGTTTAAAATTCATAATAACAAATCTAATCTTAGCAGAGACGAAAACAAAGCCCTAGAGGAACTAATGAAAAATAGAAACATTATTATTAAACCAGCAGACAAAGGAAGTGCAGTTATTATTATGGATAAGGAGCAATATTTATATGAAGGCTATAGGCAACTTAATGATACCAATTATTACTTAAAATTAACCAAACCTCTATACATAGAAACCGTGCCCATGGTTAAAAAAATAGTATATAATTTATACCATAAAAAGTTTATTAATGCTAAACAACGTAATTATTTAATAGGATCTTCTGAACCCAGGGCAAGATTATTTTATTTACTACCCAAAATACATAAAAAACCAGATAAATGGTCCATACCGTTCAAAGTACCACCAGGACGACCTATAGTAGCAGATTGTGGTAGTGAAACTTATTATACGGCTGAATATATTGATTATTATTTGAACCCATTATCTAATAAACATAAAAGCTATATTAAGGACACATATGACTTTATTGATAAAATTAAAAAACTGCACTTACCTGATAACGCTATACTCTTCACTATGGATGTCACAAGCCTCTATACTAATATTTTGTCCAAAGAGGGGATGGAAGCTGTAAAGAACATCTTCAAAAAATATCCTGATAAATCCAGACCTGAAAAAGAACTCCTCGAACTCCTGGAAATAAATTTAAGCAGAAATGATTTTGAATTTAACGGTGACTACTTCCTTCAAATTAAAGGCACAGCAATGGGCAAAAAATTTGCACCTGCCTATGCTGACATTTTCATGGCTGAGTGGGAGGAATCAGCATTGTCAAAATGTGAAAAGAAGCCCCTTCACTACTTTCGGTACCTTGACGATATCTGGGGTGTGTGGAACCACTCAGAGAGGGACTTTGAGGTCTTCCTGGACTCACTGAACACACATAATCCCTCCATAAAACTCACAGCCACTACAAACAACACATCGGTTGATTTTTTAGACACCACTACTTTTAAAGGCCCACACTTCAAAGAAACACATAACCTGGACGTTAAAGTCTTTTTCAAGGATACTGATTCACATGCACTTTTATTCAAAACCAGTTACCATCCAAGACACACTTACACAGGTCTCATTAAATCACAATTACTACGATTCCACAGAATTTGCACACAACAAGCAGATTTTAAAGCTGCAACCAAGGTGTTGTTTTCAGCTCTGTCCAGAAGGGGGTACTCAAGGTCCTTCCTGAGGAGGAGTTTTAAGACATTCCTGGAGACCAAACCCATGGCTGTTGAAACCATTTTACCTATTGTGACAAATTATTCACCCTCAGCGATGAAATTAGTGAGAAACATCAAAACAAACTTTGAAGCCTTTCAATTAGAAAGCAAATTGCTTACGGATTATAGGATAATTGCAGCCTATAGGAGGAATAAAAACCTAAAGGACTATTTAGTGCAC